GTGATGATGGTAGTGGTGGTGATGATGATAGTGGTGGTGATGATGATAGTGGGGGTGATGATGATAGTGGGGGTGATGATGGTAGTGGTGGTGGTGGTAGTAGGGGGATGGTGGTGTGGTGATGTTGATGGTGGTGGTAATATGTATTAGGATATTTAATTTTAAGGTAATAAAATTGCGGCGAAGGTGTGGCTATAAGGGGAGGATGGAGGCCACGTTAAAAAAAAGAAAAGAAAAGTAGTAGTGGTAGTAGTAGTAGTGGTGGCAGTCGTAGTGGTGGTAATAGTAGTAGTAGTAGTGAGGAAGAAAAGGTCTGGTGATTATATTCTGTAATGATCCGGGTGTACTTAACCTTTGACCAAACAACGAGTCGTCTTCTCCAGACAGACAGAGTTATCACAATGTTTATTTTTTCACACACCTCCCCCCTCCCCTCCTCAAGTTTCCTCAGTGTCTCTCGCCTGGAGAAGTTTTCCCCCTAGAGACCCAACACACAGCAGATAAAACTGTTACTTTTGTTCCGTGTTACAATGTTCGCCCCGGCCATGGTGATACCCTGTCTAACTACCGCGAAAAATACGCCCACGCGAATACACATACATACTGTATGTGGAGGTATGAGATATTGGTTTACACTCAGGATGGGATGGAGAAAGGAAACTCACAATGTGCTCACTGTATACATATTGTATTGGATGTACAGTGTAGCTTGTTGCTGGGGAGGTAGCATGGTGTAATAAGCGTTGAGTAGAGAGAGCTGGGTGGTGAGGGTGCTGAGAGGAGGTACACCGGCTTGAGGGACGCCAAGGTCGCTGACGGGAGCGGCAGCCGCCAGGCCGGCGCGGAGGAGGATTTGTTGCTTGCTGGTGGCACTGGGTAGAAAGAGGCAGGTCACAGCGGTGTCAGGCTTTATAAGGCGGGGGTAGGCGTGGGTAGATAGTTGACCCCCTCTCCGTGGGCGGCGCTGGAGGCGTAGGCTGGGGAATTCGAGAAGGTTCTGTGCTTGTAGGGGAGGAATCCACTACATGTACACATAATGATAATGGAAGCCTATTCCGAATCGACGATGGCCGGTCCTATGCGTGAATTTGTTTTAAGGTGTAGAAGCTGTCGCCAACACAACAACCACACACGAGTTGCATGACCCAGTGTCACGGAATAATCCGAAGACCGGACAACTCGCCAACTGCACTGGCTAACCATTACCCCTGAATACGATCCGCAGTTACTGCTGGGTAGACAGAGGCAAATGGCGTAAAGAAACTAGCCCACAGTTTCACTCTGCCCGAGGATCGAACTCGGGTCTGATGGTTTACGAGGCGAGAATGCTGACCATTACACCTCATACTTTTCATACATACATACACAAACACCACCACTATCAGGGTAACTAAAAAGATATATCATTATATATTTTAATTTAACGTATCAAGAACATAATATATATATATATATATATATATATATATATATATATATATATATATATATATATATATATATATATATATATATATATATATATAGTAGTTAATGTATATACTTTCTCTGTATCCATATACGTATAATACATAACAATCACAAGAGCATTCATTACTTTGTTATATAAACTATAACGGAATCACAGTAATTTATATAATATATATGTGCATGAAAAAATATATATTAGGTTCTGTTAAGAAAGGCATAATACAGTCATTTACGTCACTACAACTGTTACATCATAACATTATAACATCATAACATTATAACACCATAACATTTAACAGTAATAAGTTATCATTAACATTATAACAATCATAACTCATGTGACAATAAGTGTGATGTAACATAACTATTAACATGGCTGTAGTGTAACAGATATATAACAGATACTGACATGTGATGACAACAGGTGTAGCTTAAGTTAACGACACACTTGGTCAGGGTTGGAAAAAATCCAGTTTAAAAAAAAATACTGAAATCGATTTGTTATTTATTTTTATCCACTTATTCACATTTCATTCTTTTATACAATAATTCAGACCTTTTTCTATGTATTATGTTTAAACCATTATCTTTTATGTGTAATATTTATGAAAATTGTCTTAGCGTTTTTTTTTTTTTACTGTGGATATAATTTGGGTCAAATATCTTTATGAATGGTTATTTTACACTTGATGGAAAAAACTTATAATTTATTGAATTTGTTTATAATAATGATATTTAATCAAATTTCTTGTAACTACACTGTTACTGAAAAGAATTGTCCTAAAATAAAAGCAACATGACCTTCTTGAAAATAATAAACATCATTGTTGAAAAAATGGTCTGAGATCCAGAAACCTACATGATAATGAAATACTGAAACACATTGACTCTAAACTATTTATATCTGTATGAACATAATATATTAATAAGGAAATAATACTTGTGATTTATAGAATTAGGAAATAAATGCTTCTATATTTATATAAAATAAATAATATTACATTTTGTTCATAGAGTATAGGTGATATAGTCGTTTCATTTTAATCATGCCAACCCTTGTACCCGGTGCATGGCGTTAGTACTGATGACTAGATAGATGATGTAGCGTTCTTCACCAGCGAGGTTAAACAATGGTGCAACTATGTTTTGAGCTCACACACACACACACACACACACACACACACACACACACACACACACACACACACACACACACACACACACACACACACACGCGCGCGCGCGGAAAGAACAGAGTAAGATTACAATGTTTTAATAAATAGTTCACCTTCAGTACGATACTTAATCCAGAGTACAGTGAATGAGTCCAATGATTTAGAGGCCTTAATCCCTTTGAGTGCGATAACTTGACCCCTTGGGTACGATGACCGACTCCTTGGGGACACTAGTATGGCACTGAAGGGGTTAAGTCATCGTATTCAAGAGATTAAATCATCGTACTCAAGGGATTAAGTCATCGTACTCAAGGGGTTAAATCATCGTACTCAAGGGAGTAAATCATCATACTCAAGGGATTAAGTCATCGTACTCAAGGGGTTAAATCATCGTACTCAAGGGATTAAATCATCATACTCGAGGATTTAAGTCATCGTACTCAAGGAATTAACTCATCATGCTCAAAGAATTAAGTCATCGTACTCAAGGGGTTAAATCATCGTACTCAAGGGATTAAATCATCATACTCGAGGATTTAAGTCATCGTACTCAAGGAATTAACTCATCATGCTCAAAGAATTAAGTCATCGTACTCAAGGGGTTAAATCATCGTACTCAAGGGATTAAATCATCATACTCGAGGATTTAAGTCATCGTACTCAAGGAATTAACTCATCATGCTCAAAGAATTAAGTTATCGTACTCAAGGGATTAAGTCATCGTACTCAAAAGGGTTAACTCTGTTTCTTGTTGTCGTCAGTAATTATCACACTTGTGTTGTTCTTCCCGGCTGCACCTTGTTTACCACACGCTAGGTGACAAGAACCACATGAACGGGCAAAAGTGTTAATGAAAATACGAAAGGAACTGGCAGTATATGTAAAGCAGCCGGGAAAACTCTACCTACTGCAGGTGTCACGGATAATCCCAGGGTGTCACCAGGTCCTGCAGGTGTCACCAGGTACTGCAGGTGTCACGGATAATCCCAGGGTGTCACCAGGTACTGCAGATGTCACCAGGTACTGCAGGTGTCACGGATAATCCCAGGGTGTCACCAGGTCCTGCAGGTGTCACCAGGTACTGCAGGTGTCACGGATAATCGCAGGGTGTCACCAGGTACTGCAGGTGTCACCAGGTACTGCAGGTGTCACGGATAATCCCAGGGTGTCACCAGGTACTGCAGGTGTCACCAAGTACTGCAGGTGTTACAGGTAATCCCAGGGTGTCACCAGGTACTGCAGGTGTCACAGGTAAAGGGTGTCCCAGGGTGTCACCAGGTACTGCAGGTGTCACAGGTGTCAAGGTACTGCAGGTGTTACAGGTAATCCCAGGGTGTCACCAGGTACTGCAGGGTGTCACCAGGTAACCCCAGGTGTCACAGGTAACCCCAGGGTGTCACCAGGTACTGCAGGTGTCAATCCCAGGGTGTCAGGTAATCCCAGGTGTCACCAGGTACTGCAGGTGTTACAGGTAATCCCAGGGTGTCACCAGGTACTGCAGGTGTCACAGGTAACCCAGGGTGTCACCAGGTACTGCAGGTGTCACAGGTAACTCCAGGTGTCACAGGTAACCCCAGGGTGTCACCAGGTACTGCAGGTGTCACAGGTAATCCCAGGGTGTCACCAGGTAATCCCAGGTGTCACCAGGTACTGCAGGTGTTACAGATAATCCCAGGGTGTCACCAGGTACTGCAGGTGTCACAGGTAACCCCAGGGTGTCACCAGGTACTGCAGGTGTCACAGGTAACTCCAGGGTGTCACAGGTAACCCCAGGGGTGTCACCAGGTACTACAGGTGTCACAGGTAACCCCAGGGTGTCACCAGGTACTGCAGGTGTCACAGGTAACCACATGGGGTCACCAGGTACTACAGGCGTCACAGGTAACCCCAGGGTGTCACCAGGTACTGCAGGTGTCACAGGTAACCACATGGGGTCACCAGGGACTGCAGGTGTCACAGGTAACCCCAGGGTGTCACCAGGTACTCAGTAGCTGGGCCTGAGGTGGTCATTTCGCCTGCGGTTGACCCTGGAGTGGGCGGTCCTGTAGATTGTCATCATCTTCTTGACGGAGTAAGGACACCTGGCGTACAGGTGTCGGCACTTGTTTTGTGACCCCTGAGAGAACCCCAGGTGGGAGGCGTACGAGTAGTAGAGCTCCGGCGTGGACATCACCTGCAGGTCCTCCGTGGACACCACGCCCCTGGAGGAGACAAGTAGTTATTTACCTGGTGGAGAGGACGCAGGTAGTTATGTGAGTGTCGGTATAATATCGATTACATTTAAGTCACCATAATGAATGAGCCTATAATATGCTTTTCCCTGGCCAGTTAGGGCAGCATTGAGAGTGTGAGTCAGGCATATCTTGACACACACACACACACACACACACACACACACACACACACACACCACTCGGCCAAACCCATTCAGTTGTAAACTATGTTATCTTGACAAAGTTAAGGTCGGTCAGATTTGGCAGGAAAGTGTTTTTTAATAATCGTAAACTGTCGAGGATGGTGACCATGTTGTGTAGGACTGTGAGTGGTGGCGTGGAGTATTGGGGCGGCTGAGGGATGATATGGTGGAGGGCGTCTACAGCAGAGAAACAAAACAATAATAATATCTACCCGATAACAGTTCACCCCCCCCCCCTTCCTCCCAGGCCGTGTACACACAACTCACTGCTCAAAGTTTACATGAAACATCGACTATTAAACTATTTTGAGAACTACAGTACAAGTATTTTAAGTAAACATGAGACGTTAACTACTCCGATGTTAGACTTTCTTCACCTAAGTAGTTTAGTTAGTTAACTTCACGCAAAGTGACTCGTGCAAGTGAAGTCGAAAAAAGTCAAGTCTATTCATATTAAAAAAAAATTTCTAAAAATATTTAAGTCCAAGATGTCAACTCTAAGATATTATAAAAATAAGCCTAGTAAAAATAAAGTTTGAAAATATTCCTCCTCATCCATCAATGGGTTCAAGTTTAAACCCTCGACCATCAAAGAGTTCAAGTTTAAACCCTCATCCATCAAAGAGTTCAAGTTTAAACCCTCGACCATCAAAGAGTTCAAGTTTAAACCCTCGACCATCAAAGAGTTCAAGTTTAAACCCTCGACCATCAAAGAGTTCAAGTTTAAACCCTCTACCATCAAAGAGTTCAAGTTTAAACCCTCGACCATCAAAGAGTTCAAGTTTAAACCCTCGACCATCAAAGAGTTCAAGTTTAAACCCTCGACCATCAAAGAGTTCAAGTTTAAACCCTCGACCATCAAAGAGTTCAAGTTTAAACTCTCATCCATCAAAGAATTCAAGTTTAAACCCTCGACCATCAAAAGAGTTTTAAACCCTCGACCATCAAAGAGTTCAAGTTTAAACCCTCGACCATCAAAGAGTTCAAGTTTAAACCTCGACCATCAAAGAGTTCAAGTTTAAACCCTCAACCATCAAAGAGTTCAAGTTTAAACCCTCAACCATCAAAGAGTTCAAGTTTAAACCCTCAACCATCAAAGAGTTCAAGTTTAAACCCTCAACCATCAAAGAGTTCAAGTTTAAACCCTCGACCATCAAAGAGTTCAAGTTTAAACCCTCGACCATCAAAGAGTTCAAGTTTAAACCCTCGACCATCAAAGAGTTCAAGTTTAAACCCTCGACCATCAAAGAGTTCAAGTTTAAACCCTCGACCATCAAAGAGTTCAAGTTTAAACCCTCATCCATCAAAGAGTTCAAGTTTAAACCCTCATCCATCAAAGAGTCCAAGTTTAAACCCTCGACCATCAAAGAGTTCAAGTTTAAACCCTCATCCATCAATGGGCTAAAGACTTCCAATAACAACTTACTACTAACTACGACCAGGTAATACGGCGAACGAACCAACGAGGTCACGGGAGAAGTTAAGCATCTCCAGGTTAATTGGACTCATTAGGGTAGTTAGTTGGGTCGGGTAGATGACGTAAACGAATTTTCAGTGTCCGATAATGAGGAGTGGGAGGCCGACCTGAAGCTATTGTTACCCTATTAAAACAACATGGGCAAAGCGATTCACCAGATGAGAGGAGGAGGAGGAGGGGAAGATCGAGGGAGTGAGGGAAGGAAGAGTGGGGTGAGGGAAGGAGGGAGGAGGGGACAGCAGCAGCAGCAGTAGTAGAGAAGGAAGGAGGGGAGAGGGGACAGTAGTAGAAGAGAGGAAAGGAAGGGGGAGGCGGCAAGATTAGTAGAGAGAACAGAAGGAATACAGAATGTGGGAGAGTGACCCGCTGGAGTCCCACTTGAATTATAGTACAGGAGATTTAGAAAAGGTCAAGGTCAAGACCCCAGACTGAGTTACTTGCGTTGGGCTCACGAAATAGATCTACATAAGGTTATAGATAAAGCTTCCACTCTCTGTTTACCTTTCGTAATAGGACTATATATTGTGAAGGCCCCAAACATAAGGAGACATCTTATTTAAGTAATCTCAGGAGCTCACTTGAAGAATGAGAGTAATTCCTTGGCAGCCAACTCACAGGTCAGCTTCAGGCCGCACCAGTTGTTGTCATTGGCGTATATATTCTCGAAGTTGGCCGCCAGGTCAGGATCTTCCCGGGTCTCCGCCAGCAGCGACCTCAGGTCACGCTTCCTGAAGAAAGGTAAAGGTTAGGTCATGTTTCCTTTCCCCGCCCAAACATCTAATCTCCACCCCACTCCTCGACGCCTTCAATTCTCCATTACACACCTTCATAATATATATATATATATATATATATATATATATATATATATATATATATATATATATATATATATATATATATATATATATATATATATATATTGCAGTATGTGTGTAAAGCACAGTGTGTATTTGTTGATATTGTTATTGATTTTGAAACAGTTTATTTGGTCAGACAATATAGACACAGAGTTGTTAATATTAACGATATTGACATAGCTGAGCCAACTGGGCTCTCTTAGTGGCACCTGATATACTGTACAGTACAATCAAACACAAAAGTCGTGTTACGGTTTTGTCCGAAGATTAAATGTAACTCGTGATACATTATGACAGCCCCCTACCACAAGGCAGAGAGCACCAAAAGTTTAGCTCTTCGGCATATGTTTTCACCAAATTTCACGACACGACTTTTGTCTTTCATTGTACATTATCTCAAGGACGTATTATGGAACATTTAGTATCATCTGAATTAGTACACGTAACATGGTGTTAATGAGACCTCATCAGATTGTTACCATCATTATCACTTTTATGTATTTAATTTTTTTTTATTTGTGTGTTTGTTTGTGTAGATGTTCACTATGCACGCCATAGTTTTTAAGATAGAAAGCTGAAATTTGGTAAGCTTTGGCCTACTGTATGTACACAGCCCCGAGAATGCTCACAAATGTCTAAATTACCAAGACTACGCACATAAAATAGCGCTACTCGTGACACCTGCGTGAGCCGGGGACCGTTGTCGGGGTGTTGAGGCAGCACCCATTTTGGTTAAATTTACTTCGTCAAAGACAAACCCGGGCAACACCGGGTGGTCCCCCTAGCCAAGGGTGAATAAACGTACTGGTAAGAGTTATTCAAAGTTTGCTGCTTATACTAAAACAAATATTTAATTTGGTATGTTATTATACGTTTATTTTAATTATAAATCCTGCATATGGAGTAAGAAGTCGAAATAATACAACTGTTAATTTGTTTGAATCCCAACTGCAGCAGGCCCAGAGGGAGGGAAGGAGGGAGGAGGCGATGGCAGGAAAAATCGCTGCTCCGGGAGCTGATCCTGCGCTCCTCGTTTAATTCTCGTCAAATCCCACTTAATCTTAGCCTTTAGAGTACAGCATAATCCTCGTGCTCACTTGCTCATTGTCACATAACACAAAAGCATTACAACATGTCTTGGACTGTGTCATGGATAACCTGACCAGGCGTTATATGAAGCAGCCAGGGAGCTGGGGGCCACATACGGTGTCATGTGGAGGAAGAAGACGTGCACTAACTAGCTGGAGTACTGGGTGAAAACTACTGCACAGTGTTGACGTGTGTGAGGACGTACTGGGTGATATACAGCACAACACGAAGGTGGTCCCGGCAACCACCTCACGGTCTCCACCAGGTGAGTCAACACCTTCAATATCTCCATCCATCGTCCTGGTGATATTCTGCACACTACCTCTCACCCTCACACTACCTCTCACCCTCACACTACCTCTCACCCTCACACTACCTCTCACCCTCACACTAACCTAACCTAACCTAACGTAACCTAACATAACATAATCTAACAATCTATACATCCGAGATCCGCTTAACTATATGTGAGGATTGATAGGGTAATTTAGGGTGGGAATAATTACTACATTATTAACCAAGTACGGAGGACGATCTGTGTGTGTGTGTGTGTGTGTGTGTGTGTGTGTGTGTGTGTGTGTGTGTGTGTGTGTGTGTGTGTGTGTGTGTGTGTGTGTGTGTGTGTGTAGTGTTTGTTTTATAGTGAATACAACGCTAGTCATGTTTACTAAAAACACACATACTCTGCCCACACACACACACACACACACACACACACACACACACACACACACACACACACACACACACACACACACACACACACACACACACACACCGTAGAAGTGAATCACCTGCGACCAGCGAAGAGTACAGCGTGGGCTATGGTGAGGAGTGTAGCGGCCGTGGCAGTCCCCAGCCCACCGTATAGCAGCGCCCCCTCCGCTGTAACACACAAGGGGTTAGGTTACGGTATTGTGAGAGTGAGGGGTCGTGTGGGAGTGAGAGATATTGATATTGAAACAACTTATTTAGCCAGAAAAACACAAATACACAGTCGACAATAATAACATTAACATGGCTGAGCCAGTTGAGAGCCTGAGCTCCCTTGAAGGCACCTGATATATACTGTACATTTATCTCAAGGAAGTATTATGTATCTTTTAGTAACATCTGGAATAGTACACATAGATAGCATGGTGGAAGTAAGACTATATCAGAATGTTACCACGGTTTATCTCTTCCTTATTTATTTAGTGATTTTATTAATTTATTTTTAACATTTATAAGTATATACATATTTTTCAATGGTGTTGATATACATAAATATGATAAAGGAGTGAAGCAGTACAACATGGGTTGGAACTAGAGGACACAGCTGTCAGTATCATGTCTAGTCGACAAATATAATTATTGCAATGGTAATTTCTATCTATCTCCATGACTAACTATAATATTATGGTTTTGGTGGTACAATATAAGCAGGAATATAAAGTAGGTGTTACAAGATTATTAATACTTAGACAATAGATCCTTTTAAGGGTTATTTTTAAAGGAAGGGAGTGTAGTCTTTGCTGGGATGGTTGGGGGTAAGTTGTTCCACACCTTCACACGGTGATATTTTATTGAGGTCTGGGACTGAGAGGAGCGCATGGGGGGTGGTTTTAGTAGCTCTGGGTGTCTTAATTTGTATCTCTGATTATTCTGGAACTGAAAATAATTATTGTCAATGAAGTTTTGTTCGTTAGTGTGATCAGTTTTCAAGAAGGTCATTGTCGGCACAACTCTCTTCTGTGCAGTAATCAGGGGTCGTGTTTTGAAGAGCCAGAGGCCCCCCCATAGGTAGTATAAGGGTGAGACGTAGTGTGAAGGTGAGAGGTAGTGTGAAGGTGAGAGGTAGTGTGAAGGTGAGAGGTAGTGTGAAGGTGAGAGGTAGTGTGAGGGTGAGAGGTAGTGTGAGGGTGAGAGGTGTGAAGGTGTGAGAGGTGGGTGAGGTGGGGGGAGGGTGAGAGGTAGTGTGAAGGTGAAGGTGAGAGGTGGTGTGGGGTGAGGGAGGGTAGAGGTGAGGGGTGAGAGGTAGTGTGGAGGGGGTGAGGTGTGAGAGGTGAGGAGGTAGTGTGGAAGGTGAGAGGTAGGGGAGGGGTGAGAGGTGGGGAGGGTGAGAGGTAGTGTGAGGGTGAGAGGGGTAGTGTGGGGTGAGGAGAGGGTGTGAGGGGTGAGAGGTAGTGTGAGGGGTGAGAGGGTGGTGTGAGAGGGTGGAGGGGAGGAGTGTGAGGTGGAGGGTAGTGTGAGGGGTGAGAGGTAGTGGTGTGGGGTGGGAGGGGTGTGGAGGTAGGAGGTGGTGTGAGGTTGAGGGGGGCTGGAGGTGAGGGTGAGAGGTGGGGGTGAGAGGTGAGAGGGTGGTGGGAGGGGTGGAGAGGGTGAGGTGGGGTGAGGTGAGGTGGAAGGGTGGGGGAGGTGGGTGGTGAGAGGTAGTGTGAGGTGGGGAGTGAGGTGCAGAGGTAGGAGGTGGTGTGAGGTGAAGGTGAGGTGGTGTGGGGTGAGGAGGTGGTGTGGGGTGGGGGAGGTGGTGAGGTGGAGGTGGTGTGTGGGGTGAGAGGTGGAAGGGTGGGGGTGGTGTGGAGTGAGGTGAGAGGTAGTGGGGTGGGGAGGGGTGGGGAGAGGTAGTGTGGGGGGTGTGAGGTGAGGTTGAGGGAGGTGGGTGAGGGTGAGGTGGAGTGTGGGAGGGGTGGAGGTAGGGAGGTGAGGAGGTAGGGTGGGGTGGTGAGAGGGTGGAGGGTGAGAGGTAGTGTGAGAGGTAGGTGAGGGTGAGAGGTAGGAGGGTGAGAGGTGAAGGTGAGAGAGGTAGTGTGAGGTGAGAGGTAGTGAAGGTGAGGGTAGGGAGGGGGAGAGGGGGAGGGGTGAAGTGTGGAGGGGTGAGAGGTAGGAGGGAGGGAGAGGTAGGGAGGGAAGGAGAGGTAGTGTGAGGGGGAGGGGTGAGAGGGTGGTGTGAGGGTGTGAGGGGTGGGAGGGTGGGAGAGGTGGTGTGAGGGTGAGAGGTAAGGGTGGAGGGGTGTGGGGTGGGGGTGGAGGTGAGAGGTGGTGTGGTAGGTGGAGGTGTGTGGGGCGGGGGTGGGTGAGACTGAGGAAGTGGTGTGGGGTGAGTGGTCAGGGGGTGGGAGGGGTGAGAGGTAGTGGGGTGGGGAGGTGGTGTGGGGGTGAGAGGTGGAAGGTGAGAGGGTGGTGGGGGTAAGGAGGGTGGTGTGGGGTGGGAGAGGTAGTGTGGAGGTGGTGGGGGTGAGAGGTAGTATGAGGGTGAGAGGTAGTGTGAGGGTGAGAGGTAGTGTGAGGGTGAGAGGTAGTATGAGGGTGAGAGGTAGTGTTAGACAATTGGGGCCAGTATATAGAGCCAGGGGTCAAGAGGTGTTCCTGGCTTACCTGTCCTAAATTATTATAATAAAAACATGATGACGCACTGTATACTATAGCGGCTCTGAGTAATGACTACAAGTAATTGTGTTTAGATATATATTTACTCTCTCTCAGTCAAGTCATCATCATCATCATCATCATCATCATCATCATCATCATCATCATCATCATTATCATCATCATCATCATCATCGTCGTGTCTGAGGGTTGGCGACTATGGCCCTCTGTTTCAACCGTATCCCGGATCTCTTTCTTAAGCCAAATTGATATTTTTTTTCACTTCATATCTTTCTCTTCTCTTCTTCTTCCCCCTTCCCCTCCCTTATTTCCCCTTCCCTTCCTCCTTCCCCCTTCCCTTCCTCCTTCCCTTCTTTCCCCTTCCCTTCACCCCTTCCTGGAATGTCGCATCTCCCTTATAACAAGAACTATGATGATAATTAAGGATAACGCACAAGGGTATGAGGAAAGGGATGTCAGGGGGAGGGAAGGGAAGGGCTGTCAGGGGGAGGGAAGGAAAGGGCTGTCAGGGGGAGGGAAGGAAAGGGCTGTCAGGGGGAGGGAAGGAAAAGGCTGTCAGGGGGAGGGAAGGAAAGGGCTGTCAGGGGGAGGGAAGGAAAAGGCTGTCATGGGGTGGGAAGGGAAGGGCTGTCAGGAGGAGGGAAGGAAAAGGCTGTCATGGAGAGGGAAGGAAAGGGCTGTCAGGGGGAGGGAAGCGCTGCCAGGAGGAAGGAGGGGGAAGGGTGAGTGAATGTAAGAGCAGTGGCCCCCCTTGGCCATGCTCGGCCCATTCCCCAAGTCCCTCTCCCCGACCCATCCTCACCACCGGGATATTAACATAATCAAAAGTGACAATTTTATATCGGAAAGAAGTAGGACCAGTGATGAACAGTGATGAACAGTGTTTAAGCCAGTGAATTCACCACCAGACAGTACCAGTGAAAGCCGTGACCCACCAGTGAGATAAGCACCCCTGGGAACCATCCTCTGACCAGATGGTGTTAATCTGTCCACCCCGGGAACAACAGCAGGTCGGCTATGCACCTGACTGCGAGATAACACAACATCACCGAGCAGAGTGAGGTACTGTGACATCACCCCACACCACCCGATGTCTCCATGACCACGTGAGGTCCTTCATATCAACACCCGAGGACGAGTTACTATACCACGTGAACACCGCACCACCTGGTGTCCCCATGACCACGTGAGGTCCTTCGCAAAACTACACGAGGACTCCGCAAAACTACAGGAAGATCTAAACAAATTTTTCGAATGGTCTGAAAAATGGCAGATGAAATTCAACATGGACAAATGTAAAGTACTCAGTATAGGAGATGTAAACAGGGAAACCAGATACCAGATGAACAACGATGCCATAGAGAAATCCGACTGCGAGAGAGATTTAGGAGTAATGATAAGCAGGAACTTTAAGCCAAGTAAACAATGTGTTTTTGCTCGTAACAAGGCTAATAAAGTACTTGGGTTCATACAAAGGAGTGTTAGTTACAAGACTAGTGAGGTCATCCTAAAACTGTATCTTGCTCTTGTGAGACCACACCTGGACTACACACCTGGACTACGCAGTTCAGTTCTGGTCACCGTATTACAGAATGGATATAGAATCCTTGGAAAGAATTCAGAGGAGAATGACAAGACTAATCCCGGGCATTAGGAACCTTGAGTATAGAGACAGGTTAAAGCATCTTAATTTGCACTCCCTCGAGAGATGTAGAGCGAGGGGCGACCTGATAGAGGTGTATAAGTGGAAGTCAGGGCTAAACAAAGGGGACATTACAAAGGTACTCAAACTATCCAACCAGGAGCGAACTCGTAACAATGGTTTTAAATTAGACAAATTTAGATTTGGGCGTGAAATAGGTAAACACTGGTTTGGAAACAGAGTAGTGGATGAATGGAACAAGTTACCAAATATCATCATTAAATCTGAACAGCTGAAAGCTTCAAACATAGGTTGGATGCTTATATGAGCATGGGTTGGGTGTAAAACGGACTGCTCCAGTATGGGCCAGCTAACAGGCCGGCTGCAGTTTCTCCATTCTGTGTTCTGTGTATACTACCACCTGAGACGAGTTAATATTAACGCGAACACCGCACCACCTGGCGTCCCCATGACCACGTGACGTCTTTTATATCAACACCTTAGGACGTGTTACTACACCACGAACACCACACTACCTGGAAAGTCTCATGACCACGGGAGGTCCTTCATATCAACTCCCCGAGGATGAGTTACTACCACGTGGACACCACCACCCAGTCCCCATGACCACGTGAGGTCCTTCATATCAACACCCGAGGATGAGTTACTACACCACGTGAACACCGCACCACCTGGTGTCCCCATGACCACGTGAGGTCCTTCATATCAACACCCGAGGACGAGTTACTACACCACGTGGACACCGCACCACCTGGTGTCCCCATGACCACATGAGGTCCTTCATATCAACACCCGAGGACGAGTTACTACACCACGTGAACACTACACCACCTGGTATCGCAATGACCAGTCATTTGTCTAGTGTATATTTTCAACCTTCGGGCTGCAGAACTTTTTCAATAAACCGTTAATTATTATTATTATTACACATACACACACACACATACAATATAATAAAGAACATGGGCCCAGCAGTTGTTGTAGAGGAAGGGGAGGAGCCAAGATATCTCTCTCTCTAAGGTAGTGGCCAGCTACCAAACAGGGAGGTACTACTGCCTGGGAAGATATTGGAAGCATAATGTGTTGTCTAATGGTAGACCCTGCTGCTATATGACGTCACAAAAATTGTGACTTTCTGCCTCATTTACACACAATTGCAGGGTCTCAATTGTTTCTCTTACTTTGACAACATAACTTACATATATTGTTTCTCACTATTGATTTTTTTTATGGTCCTTTATTATTATTATTATTATTATTATTATTATTATTATTATTATTATTATTATTATTATTATATTATACAGTACTGTATTATTTTTGTATTTAATATATTTTTTAATTTTATTATTATTATTATTATTATTATTATTATTATTATTATTTCGCCCCCCAGGTCCTGAAGGTTATCTGACCTGTGCCCTGTCGGGCTAATCCCGTAAAAATAAAAAATAAATAAAAAAAATACAAGGAAAACCTGGACCAAGCAGCAGTTGTTGTGGAGGAGATAGTGAGGACAACAACAACATAATGTTCACCTGTTGCAACAATCATCGGGCAGCCTCTTATCGTGTCTCAATTGTACTGTACGATCTTCAAGTGACTTTAAGGTCGATTATCAGAGTTGGAAAGTGTAGGAGAATTGACCTCATTGGTGATGTTTGTTGGATGTCCCTGTCTTACTCCTGGTATTTGTGGATTGGATATTGTAAAAATCAGTGTGGTGGGATTTTGTGGTGTTGTGTTCCCCAAACTGTAGCTTACTAAATCAAAGGAACTTAGAGATTTAATAGACAATGCGGCGATGCTCAACCCTAGCCACCTCCTTATTATGGGGGACTTTAACTATGGCGACATCGACTGGAGAAACGAGTGCACCCCAAATGACTTGAATAACCCTGCTACTCTTTTTGTAGAAAATCTGAGAGCTAATTTTCTGTTCCAACATGTGAGAGACCCGACGCATTACAGAGGGGAGCAAACACCCAAGACACTGAACCTCATCATAACAAACGAGGAGGGTATGGTGGCCAAGCTGGAACACCTTGCCCCAGTTGGCACCAGTCACCATATAGTGTTGTCATTCAGATTTAATTGTTACTAAGTTAACACAAGCCAGGCCAAGGTACAAATATTACAAGGGAAATTACGACTGGATGAGGGAGATGAGGAGTATCCACTGGCCTGACTCATTAATGCATTAGAACACAGACACTACGCTGATTATCATAGCCAGTCAAGTGACCCATTGATCGATAAATTTATACCCAAGACCAAACCCAGGAGACAGCTACACATGAACCCTGCGGCGGTTGACAAAGTCAAGAAAACCCAGATATTCAAGACGTGGGTTGGGTCAAACGATGAACAGGACAGAAGGATGTATGCAAGAGCCAGAAACCAAGCAAAGTCAGAGTGTAGAAGGGCTGAAAAGGAGTTCCAGAGGCTGGTTGTAAGCGTGGTTAAGTAAAACTCAAAGGCGTTTTACCGCTATGCAAATCCTGATCGAGACCTGTTACCATGTTTTAAATACGAGATAGTGACACTTCCTGAATATTAATGTAGTCACCGTTGAAGACCCCTCGTGTCATCGTACCTTGTGTGTCATCATTACGATTGCCAAGGATGACCACACCTCACCTTCCACCAAGGATGACCACACCTCACCCTCCACCAAGGATGACCACACCTCAACCTTCACCAAGGATGACCACCTCACCTTCACCAAGGATGACCACTCACCGACCAAGGATGACCACACCTCACCTCCACCAAGGATGACCACACCTCACCTTCCACCAAGGATGACCACACCTCACCCTCAACCAAGGATGACCACACTCACCCTCCACCAAGGATGACCACACCTCGTGCAACTTCTTTGATAAGTACGGTATTTTTCAACCCAATATACCCATCTCTCTCCCCCAACGGCCAACACCCACCTCTCCCTCCAGCACTCCACCTTCTTCCTCCAACACCCACCTCTCTCTCCTCCAACACCCACCTCTCTCCCTCCAACACCCACCTCTCTCCCTCCAACACCCACCTCTCTCTCCCTCCAACACCCACCTCTCTCTCCAACACCCACCTCTCTCTCCTCCAACACCCACCTCTCTCTCCCTCCAACACCCACCTCTCTCTCCCTCCAACACTCCACCTCTCCTCCACACCCACCTCTCTCTCCCTCCAACACTCCTCCCTTCCTGCCTGGCAAACAGCCCCTCCTCATCTACCCTAAGAGACTGTCTCGTCGTTCATCAATACTCTTCTTTATGTGGCCAGGACCCCTTAACACGGGTTCGAACCCCTCACCATAACACAGCCCTCATCCTTACCTACCGTTCACCTGTGACCTCTCATTAGGAACATTATGCATCTGTACCCTACTCTCACCTCATTGTTCCGTGGCTCCCCGACCTGCAGA